TTATTGTGTTTGGTCAAAGGTTTGGCATTTTTGTTTATTTGATGCTCAAAGGTTTATGGGGTATCTTGCATGCTCCTCTATTGGAAGTGTTCTCCAATTCCCAGCTTTCATTGTCAAGCTCGGATTGTGCGATACCTTATCAAGGAATTCGTGCGATTGCCTCAGCTGCCCAATTTTTGTATTCGAGCCGCCTTTTCAGGTTTTCAACTCGAATCCTCCTTTGGTTTTAAGACGTCATTCGTAATTTATGTCTTGAACCCTTTTTTTATTTTTCTCTATCATGCATTAATTACACTATTTTTTGCAAATAAAGATTAATCCTGATGGGTGGGATGAAATCTGAAGATAGTCTCTTCTATTCAGAACTTCATGTATGATTAGAAGGGACTTTTAAGGCACGTAATGTAGGCCATGGTTCATGGTTATGAAAGAAAATGATAAATAGGCCCAAACAAGTGTTTCAGGGTATTGAACCAAGGATCAATTCATTCTGATGTCTTCAATCATATCTTGCTCAATTTGAATCTACTCGTATGTCTCTCTCTCTTGATGCTCTATGATCTTCGAGTGAAGTGATTCAGTGATTCGGAAATGATTGTGCTTGATCAAACTCATTTGATGCTCTATGATCTTCGAGTGAAGTGATTCAGTGATTCAAAAATGATTGTGCTTGATCAATCTCATAGTTAGAATCTCGATGCGTCGTTTGAATCGAGAGAATCTCTGCATATGCATCTTGTCTTATTTTTTCTTCAATTTTCCTTTGTTTTTTTCTCTTTTTGTTATGATTGAATCTTCGCACTTGGCATTTGGTTTACCTTTCGGTATCTCATCTGAATCAATGTCTTTACTCTTGCGAGCATATTTTCTCCACCTTGCCCCCTAGTGTGGAGGGTGATCCTTGGTTAGGGTTGAATCAGAAGAAAAAATACTATAGGCTCAAAAGGGGACACAAGGGTTATATATTTTTTCCTGTTGTAAAGGGATGAAAAAAGAAAGTCCTTCACCATTTCATACATAGAAGTCCTCACAGAAGAGGTATCCCCAGGGGGATAGATTTTCAGGATTATTTTTATTCACATGAAAATATTGTAATTAATACCTGGTAGAATTATTTCGAGTGAATTCTTCTTTCTGCTTCTTGCCCCCAATATGTCTCAATATTCAGGCCCTTACGAGATGGCCCAAGTTGTGTCTTTAGAAGAATGCTCATGTTCAAATGAACAACTCAATGCCTTGGGTTTTAATGGTATAAAATGTCAATTTTGAGTCTAAAAAGACAATGGTGTGACTTTATTTGACTCAAAGAAAGGTATGGGCGTATCAAAAGATAAAGACAATGTTCAAAAGTTTCAAAGGGAGGTAATGTCAAAATTTGGTCTTTTTGGTAATGACCATGAGTTATTTTGGGTAAAGAATCAAGGTATTTTATTTTGAGGTTTGAGACAGGATAAGAAAGGTCTAATCTTTCCATATGTAAAAAATCTATAATTCTTGAAGAATTAAAAGAATCCTTAATTCATTTAATATTCGAACCTTAGAAAGTAGCATAAATTCAATTGTTTAAAAGATTAAGAAAACATGAAAGATCAAAGACGTGTTCAAACAAAACAATCCTCTAAGTGCAAATGATATAGCAATGCCCCCTTCTTCGATTGTCCATGCCCCCTGAATCCGCCAGGTTTTGGATATTACGCTTCAGTGCCTTACGGTTCTCAGAGGAATGTTTGGAGCTTCCTATGTGGTAATTGAAAACAACTTCAACATAGCAGCCCTTAGGTTACAGGGACTCATTTCTCAGATCACCCTGGTAGGCTTAGTCCTATAATCAGCTGATCAAGCTCCCACTGTACTGATTTCAGTTTTAAAATCTTGCTTCCATGTGGTTAAGACCACTTCATCAAATCCTCTATGAAGAAATTTCATGTTTATGAAAATGCTTAAAAATGAAATGTAGATGGAAAAAATGCATGAAATGCTCGAGGCATTGATCCGAAAACATGTCTGTTATTATAAATAATCCTTATTGGGGACAAAAGTGTTTTATCTTTTAAGAGACAAAAATATCCTAACAGCTTCTGACATGTTGACTAGTCTTCTGCCTTCGTCTGTCACCGGTTGAATAACCCGTCCAACCGCTCCGGCTTCTCTGGATGAATCGTGCAAATGTTGAGCTACTTTTTGTACTGGCCCAAGAAGTCTCGAATGACAACATCTCTGACATTTATCTTTTGTTGAACATGTTCCCAACAAATACGTCGTTGGATCCCTCAATTGATAGGAACTATGTGAAATTCATTTGTATGTTTCTTGAATTCGTCACCAATGGTCTCCAATTTCAGCTATCGTTTATCCATTGTTTTATTTGAAGGGACTCCCAAGATCAGTAACCTTCATCTTGCCCCTGCAACCTCTGCCAGTTAGCCCTTCCAAGATAGACTTTCATTGTGCTTGATATTAACCCGATTCATTCTGAGTCCTTTATAGTACAACAGAGTAATATACTCTTCAATTGTGGGCACCACGTCTCTGGATTGAATATGACACATAGTCGCCTTGTAGATTGTCCTCTGCATTTTTATCTCTTGTATTACAACCCCTTTATCAATTAATGTAGATTATTCATGTTTAACAAACACATTTTTGGTGGATCAACACTTCTTTTGAATGATGCAAAAGATAAACACGAAAGTAAAATGTTAGTAAAATACGAGGGAAAAGGCAAACATCATGGTTAGAGTAAAAAATATCCTAGGTTTTGGAATGTGGTTTCGGGGTAGGCTCTATTTCTCCATAATCTCCCGGTTTAGGTTCTAGAAATGGTACCCGAGTTCTCCTTGCAGATGCCCCCTTGGGCTTACCAGACCCTTAGTCCTAAACCTATCACAGGCTTGTGTGGACTAAGTTAAACTCGAGAGGACACATTCCCTTATGCGCATACGGAGAATAAATTCACGCGAAGGCATAAGGTATATGAATCCCGAAGGTTACTTGCTAGGCCCATACGGTGAATAAATTCACACGAAGGCGTCACTTTTACCCCCACTTAAAACGGGTTCGGAGCTCGGGTTTAGAGCTTTAAGTGAAAAAAACTTTGAAGGCTGAAATCATTAGAAAACGATTAGTACAACCATTTACTCGAAAATATAATCAAAAGTAAGCAATAAGGATCGAACTCTTACCTTAAAATTTGAACTTACCCTTTTCGTTAAAAAAACAATTGGAAATTACATTAGCCTGACTCACTTACCTGTATCCCCAGCGGAGTCGCCAAGCTGTCGTAACCGTCTTTCGGGTGGGCCCGAAATTGGGCTTCGACTTGGATTAAATGAATTGGAGTCGCCACAGACCACTTTAAAACAAATTTAGGTGGGTCGGACACCATCTTACCCGATCTGCGTTTTTACCAGAAATGTGTCGGGTTCGAGAGTAGGTTACGATCAAGGAAGGATTAGCACCCTTGAACCGCCCTTTCGGTACCAATTAATTTGCCGGTTGTCTTAAATTAAGAAAATTGTAATTTAAAATTAAAAGATAAAAATACGATCACAATTACTTACCTTAGATAGTTTTAAAGGTGTGGCCTTAAGAAGGTCAAAAAACCATGTTAGATAAAAAGGTAAGAAATAAATAATTAAATTAAATTAAAATGAAGAAAAAACAAATTAAATAAAAGGTAAGATAAAGAAAAAAAGATAAAATAGTAAGTAAAATAAATATAAAAAAATAAAGAAATAAAGAAAAAGAGGAAAAAAATATAAATAAAACAAATAAATAAAATAATAATAATAAAGTAAAAATAATATATATATATATATATAATAAATAAAAAAATAAAAAATAGTATATATATGTATATAAATTAATAAAACTGATAATAAAAAAATAATATATATATATATAATCTATAAAAAATAAAAATATATACTAAAGTAAAAAAGAAAATGCATAAAATATAAAAAACATATTACATGAAAAAAAGAAAAGAAAAATAACAAAACAATTAAATAAAATGAGTAACAAGAAAAATGTGATTATAAATAAAGTTAAATAAATAAAATAATAATAATTAAAACGTAAATGTAAGAGGCCGAATCAAAAAGTAAAAAAGATGCTACCTTTTATTTCCTTTTCGAATCGTTTACAATAGCTTTGCCTTTGTATTTTCCGTGCTTTCCTCTGTATTTTGTATGTAAATCGTGTGTTACAAATGTGGAGGATTACATGTATTTATAGTAAAAAAAATTAACTATTTTTAGAATCCTATTAACAATAGAATCCTAATGCAACTAGACTCCTTGCTCGGTTGTTGCACGTTTGTTGGTGTGGTTGTTGCTTTAAAAGATATGGTGGTGGAAGAGTCCTCCTAGGAGAGAAACTCTTGCTAGATATATCTTTTAAAAATATAGGTGTCTACAACCACTATTCTACTATTCCCAATTAGCAAATTATCAAACTTTCTTCTCTTTTCTGACCTTCAAATTTCTACCTTTTAAAGAAAAACCAACAGATCAGTTAGTAAAACAACTTCATGACTGATATATTGCTGCTGCTTCTGATTTCCAACGAAATTCCAACCACTCCGAGGCCTCAATGCAGCAGCATCTACAAATTCATTTCAAAAGTTCAAAAAACCTTTTTTTTTTTAAATGAACAAGATTTAAGGGAGATAATAAGTACTACAACCAGAAGGGAAACTTGAGCTAAACAGAGGAGCTGGAACCAAAACAGTAGGACAAGCTGCCAACATAACAAAAAAAAAATCAATGAACATTCAAGAAATCAATACTTTATTAAAACTGTAAGTTCATGGTTATAAACCTGGCTTCTTGTAGGGTTCAGAATAGTTTCCAACACGCCGAGGAAGGAAAACACCAGTTCCAGCACATTCTCTTTTACCAATTGGACTGTCCAAGAAAACAGCACGCATGCCCGACCCGTTTGGTGGCTGGGGTTGCTGCAGTGGGGGCCATGCAGAAGGGCACAAACCCAATGTCATGTTACCATACCTTCCTCTGTTTTGGACTACTTGCTTCTACTGCTGCTTCAATCCTCCCCACACCCAACGAGTCTTGCTGTTTCATTAGCTGATCTTGTTTCAGTTGCTGAAACTGCAACCACAAAAATAAAATAAAAGAGAAATCAGTACATCATGCAGAGAATAAACAATCTGAATACTATGTTTTGCGGATCTTACACGAGTGGTACGCAGCTTATTATGATAAAGTGATTGTTGAGGGTAAAAGACAGAAGCATCGAGTTTCGTAGAAGGTTTTGGAGCTGGTGAACCCAAAATGCCTCTGTTGTTGAATTCTACACATGTTTCTTCTTTCATTCGTAATCTTTCTACTTCCACGGCCGCCGCATACAGGAGGTTCCATGTTGCCGGCGGTGATGAAACCCGAGATTGACAGCTTGGACTCCCACGGCTAGACCCTTACTTCCAACCACAAACGCCCGGTAACGAACATATGGTCGATTGCGGCGAACTGGACAAGAATCATCCCTAAAAATCAAAGAAAAAATTGAAATCAGAATAAGGAACACATAAACTCACTCAAAAGTGATTCATGTTCAGTAATTTAGCAGACTTTGCGATTTTCAGAGGCAAACGTGGGGTCTATTCGGAGGGAATCATCTATGACAGTGGAATGAGCCATTTGACGAGTTAACACAGCGAGGTAATCTTCCCCATCACTCTCTGTTTTGGTAGAGCCAAGAACGGACTCAACGGGAGAACTTAGATCCGAAGAAAACCCAAAAGAACCAAACCCGCCGATGAACTCGTAGGGGAACAAACCCTCACCGTCTTTAAGATTCTTGGTATTGGTCGTAGTCTTAACTTCGTCATCGGCGGTTAAAAATTGGGGCGGAAGCCAGAACTCTCCGTCGTCTAAAACGTCGGCCATAACAAAGAAAGATCAAAAGAAAAGGAGCAAATACAAAGTTCATAAGGAAAAGAGAAGAGAGGATGTGATGCTTGGTGGAGAAGAGATATTAATATAAGCAGTTGTTGGCAATGGGAAAAAACTAAAAGATGAAACCAAAACACTTAGTGATTGGTAAAGATAGTAGTAACTGTCAACAAACTAGAAGGAAATAAATGAAGAGGAATTGAGGGGAAGATATGGAACGGAGATATGTATTTGTAGGTTTAAAAAAAAAAAACAATAGGGTAAACTACACCGGTGGTCATTAATGTTTAACTTATTTTTTGTTTTTTCCATTAATATTTTTAAAGTTACAAATCAATCACTAATATTATCGATTATTTACAAATTTGTCAACTTATCACTCGACGTTAATAGCAGTTAATATCAATAACAAAAAGTTGAGCTATACAGTTAAACGCTTATTTGACCCGTTGACAGCTTACCTGACAGGTTGACCGGCCACTAAATAATGGAATCCTTTGACCTTTTATGAAAACTCTACCCCCTTCCTCTTCTTCCCAATATCCCGACTCAGTTTCAGTTCCAAACCAAACAACCTAGTTGCCTTAACCAAAATCCTCCACACACCAACCATATGGCTGGGTTTATTAGCCCTAAACTAATTTCGATGAAACAAATGGGTTCACCAACGAAACCAGCCAACTTTTACCGAGGTGTTTGGCAGCACCATTGAGGGAAATGGGTCGTCGAGATCCGGCTACCAAAGAACTTGACCTGTCTCTGGCTAGGCACTTCCGAACCGACTGAGGAGGAAGCCTTAGCTTACGGCAATGCGACCTATAAACTAAGAGGTGATTTGAAATTGTGAAGAGGATTCAAACTCTGGGATCCCATTGCCATCTCCATCTCATTGGAATACACCAGTGACGCTGCTGAAGTGGATAAAAAGTTGGAGTCACCCTCAGTAAGTTTTATGGTAGTGATACTAACATCTTTAGAAGCTGAATCGATAGAAAGACTGTCACAACATGTCCCTTTTCCTTTTCCAAACAAATTTGTCATTTTCACATTTTACATTAATCCGATCAATCTCCAGAATTGCATTTTGAGTGTGTGTTGTATGCTATCTTCTAAAGATAAGTTATAATTGCTTGAAATTCCATTCAGACTATAGTTATATATGGTCATTTTTGTTGTTAAATTGTCAAAAAAAAAGTAATATTGATTATTTGCTCATTTTCTCTATCAGCTTATGATGATGACTCTCATGTTCAAAGCAAGAAATGGAGAAAGTTCAAATTATTGAACCTACCATAAGGATGCGAAAGTCATCAATAAGTCATGTTTCAGTCAAATTATTGATTTCTAGTTTTGTTGTTTTCAAATTCTGTGGGGAGATGAATAGAAGAAGATATAATAACGGGAAATGATTTCAATTTCAAAATTGTTTTAGGCGGGATTTGTTTTATTGCAAGGTGTGGACCTAACTACCATCTCCAAGTGCTTAGCCATGGGCTTATACGGTTGATTTGGAACTGAAACTGTGTCGAAATATGGGGAAGAATAAAAGGAAGGGGGAAGGGAAGGGGAAGGGAAAGGAGCGGTTTTCATAAAAGGTCATCGAATTTCATTAATTAGTGACCGGCCAACCTGCCAGGTAAGTCGTTAATGGGTCAAATAAGTTTTTAATGGTAGAGGTCAACTTTTTGTTACAAGATTAACGACAATTAACCATTAGTGATCAATAATGTAGTTTACCCAAAAAATATGGAATGAAAAAAGTTGCGAGGTTTATCCCATACGCAAATATGGAAGGTGAGGGATACGCGCACAAGTATAGGGTCCATAGAAGAGTTACGGCCACGTACGGTGGGACTCATATGCAGCATGTGAGATGGCCGCGATTTTCTTTCCTAAGCCTCACATTTAAGCAATTTATGTATACAGAATATTAAATTAAAAGGAAAAAGTTTAGGGTAAAATACACAAATGGTTCCTCAATTATAAAGTATTCCTATTATTATTAAAAGTATAAAATGATATTTTGATTATAAGATGTTGCTTCATTAAGTCTTTTGACTATTTAAAGCTACAAAATGATCATTCAATTATTCATATTTTCAAAATTTATCTTTTTCTATTAAAAGTTTAACAATAATATGAGTTATATGTTAACTTACTGATTGTGATATGATAAAATATAATTTCAAATAACTATCACATCTCAATAAATATATTAACGTCTAACTCAGACTATCATCAAATTTTTAGCTAAAAAAATACCAGTTTAAAACATATGAATAGTCATGTGACTAGTTTATCACAAAAACATCTTTCCTTTTCATTATTTGAACCATTATGAACCATCACTTTAGTTATTTACCATCAACAATAAAAAGAATCAGTCATGTGTTGGGAATCACGGTCTTTCTTGCTTCGTGAAGTTAAGATAGACACTTAGAGATTAAGGATAGTAAAGAGAGCACAAGAGTATAATTCTCCAATTTGGAGATTATTCCACTATACAAAAGAATAGTAGGATTACAAGGATGTATTCACAAAATTTGACTCACACTCAGTGGCTCACTCAAACTTGAGGATAAAGGCTTCCCAAGCTCTCTCTTCTCTCTCAAAGAGGCTCTCTAACTCTCTAGTTTCTCAAGATTGAATTTCTTGGATTTTGGATGGTTAGGAATGAAGTCTCTCATCCCTATTTATACTACTTCACCTCCACAATGAATGGTGGAGATTACTTACATCCAAGGATGGAGATTAATTATCTAGAATACGCCACACACTCTAGGAAGTTCTACACTCTTTTACTTCCTTCCAAATTCCCATACTTTTCCATAAGGTTCCACACTCTTCCATAAGGTTCCACACATCTTCATATATCCAGAGGATCCACAATGAATGGTGGAGATTACTTACATCCAAGGATGGAGATTAATTATCTAGAATACGCCACACACTCTAGGAAGTTCTACACTCTTTTACTTCCTTCCAAATTCTTCCATACTTTTCCATAAGGTTCCACACTCTTCCATAAGGTTCCACACATCTTCATAATATTCCAGAGGATTCCACACATCTCCAGATTATTCCAGAAGATTCCACACTCTTCCACAAGCTTCTCGAGAGTTTTACACTTCTCTAGAGTTCTCCGGCATGTTATAGAAAATTCTATACTCCTCTATAAAGCTGTAGAATTTTATAGAACCTCTCCAATTAAGGAGAGATCCAACAAATCTCCCCTCTCGACTTAATTGGGAGGTAGTAGCAAGTCGACACCTTGACAACAATCTTCAAACTTCTTTGTCGATATTAGCTTGGTCATAATGTATGACATGTTCTCATCTGTGTGGACCTTGCCAAGATGTATTTTATTTTCTTCGAGAACTTCTTGGATCTAATGATATTTAGTGTCTATATGCTTTGTGCGGGAATGAAATGTTGAATTCTTTGCCAGATAAATTGCACTTTGTGTAACATCCTCTATACCGGGTCAGTGATTAAATTGTGAAATTTTAAAAGTTATTGATCAAAGTAGATAAATTGAAAGTTGAAGGAATTGATTGAAATATTTGGGGTAGGATCAATTAGCAAAGCATGGGGAACTAAAGGGGCAAATGGGTCTTTTGGTAAGGAAATAAATTAAATGTTTTTTAAGGATATTTAAATCCACGTAGTAGGCTTATGAGAAAAACAAGGTTCTGGATATTTCTTTTTTCTTCATTCTCATTCTCTGCCGTGAAGCCAAGCTAAAGGTGAGTTTTCTTGTGATCAAATTCTTGATGAATTTAAGGTTTCTTATTGATCCTTAGTTGATAACTAAGCTTAAGGAAAGCTTAGATTATCTTAAAACCATAAGATGATGAGTGTATGAAGAATTAAAGAAAGGAAGTTGAAAAGTGAAATTTTAGAATAGAGTTCTTAATAAGAATTAGAAGTGAAATTTGACTTGTCATTAAGCTAACTAAGAGATAACGAGCCTAAACGAGTTCTGGAACCATCGAAAAGTAGGATCAATCGAGGGAAAAACAAAGAAATCTAGGATCCGATAAAGTAGACGATCGAGGTTAAGCAGCTGGACAACATTACTCCTGCAACTATCAGATCAGAAGCAACTTAATCAGTAGGTCATTTTGTTATGAAAATGGATGTTGGCATGTAATTAAAGAGTTAAGTTGTGTATGATCTGAATATTTTGGTAAACTTATATTACCATATGTATAGTATTGTATTTTTCGTAATATAAGTTCAAGTATTTTACTATTATTTGTAATGAGTTATGTTTTAAAAGTCAATGTAATATCTCTGACTCGTATCCGGGTTGGAGGTGTTACATTTAATGGTATCAGAGCTATGGTTTAGCCGATTCTAGGCATAAACCAGAGTCTATAGAGTCTTTAAAGGAAATACATGTCAACAAATAGTGAGAACTTCTGATATGGTATAGTATGAGTATGTTGTTTTGCTAATAGAACAATGTGTTTATTCTTATTAGATGTCCGAACATAATAGCTCCCGATGTGAAGCGGGAGAAGATAGGCCTGCTGAAAGCAGTAATTCACCTGCCCTGGCCAGGCAAGGTGAAGAACAAGCATCTCAAGGAGTGCCTGTACAAGATCAAGATATGTTCTTCAGAACGTTAGACGCTATTCTAACGCGTCTTCAACCTCCTGCTCCACCAACTCAAATGATGAATGTAGCAAAAGAGTTGAGAGGTTTAGGAGCTCCCGAATTTAAGGGAGAAACCGAAGAAGGTTCGGTTGCGAAAGATCTTTGGTTGAATGATTTGAAAATCAAGCTAGATGGTCTCCACTGTTATGAAGTGGAGAAGTTAGATGGAATTGTATCTTTATTGAGGGGTCAGGCGAGGATATGGTGGACGAACGTCACCATAAGGATGCCCAGTGACCAGTTGACTTGGTCTTTATTCTTAGATAAATTTAAGAACAAGTACATAGGAGAACAGTTTATTCGGCAGATGAAGCAGGAGTTTTTGAATTTGA